TACGCATATGTATAGCTAAATTAATCTCACGCATTGCCGATAAACAATTCTAGCGTCTGTAACTGATATTGAGTAATCGCGTGATGGAAACGGAACATGGAGCAACGTCACATTTAACTCGCATTTGTAACATTAACTAATTTTATACAATGTCCGCAGATTAATGTCAATAAAATTTACAATTATTATTATTTATTAACTAACTTCCTACAATGTCTGCAGATTAGTGTCATGGAACGAAGTTATAGCTTCTGTTAAATTTTCCATAAATTTTCAGTTCATTAATGTCGGTTATGGCATAACTGGTATGTAACTCGAGTATGCGGTAAATATATCGCTACAATCATTTATGACAACTATACGGCAAATTTTTTTTCTAATTTATTCTGTAATATGCGTACATATATTGCAGACATTTCATGCAGTAAATGGTCTGTAAATTGTTTGTAAATCGATTTTTCTTATCATGCGATGACAATGAATTTCTGACTGGGATATTTTCTATTGCAATTTTAAAATTTTGTAAAACAATTAATTATTATTGGCATTCGGATACCTATACTATATTTTAAAAAAAGTATGTCAGAATGTACGATGTAAGTGTATAAAAATATTAGATAATAAGTGTAGCTATTACGTGAAGATAGATTAAATACGAATATTCTTTAATATACACAGATTAGCCAATTTTGAAGGACCCTTGTCTTACAAAATTAATATATCGAAGGAAGGATCTGCTCTGAGTGAGTACGTGAGCAATACCTTTGATACCTCGCTAACGTGGGAGGACATAAAGTGGCTAAAGAGGTAATAAACGGCAATAGACATTTGAAGAAGAGAACGGATGGAGAAACACGCTTCTTTTTTTAAGTCACTCGTTGTTACAGCATAACGCGGCTGCCGATAATCTTGAAAGGAATTTTGACGGCAGAAGATGCAATTTTGGCAGTTAAGCACGATGTCAGCGGAATTGTAGTCTCTAATCACGGTGCTCGTCAAATCGATGGCACTCCCGCAACGGTACGTTGAATGTTCGTTTCCATGAAATAATTCTATACAATTATTTTGCTTTTAATACCTGTAATTTGAGTATCTACGATTTGCAGATTGAGGTTTTGGCAGAAATTGTTAATGCAGTGGGTGACAAACTGGAGGTGTATCTCGACGGTGGAATTACTCAAGGGACCGATGTTCTTAAAGCGTTAGGTTTAGGCGCGAAAATGGTAAGGACATTCATCTAAGTTTTTTGCACGGGAAGGAAATCCACAAATAGATTGCAAAATCATATCGTGTTAGTAGAGTGTCGTTATTAAAATTTGATTTTTGGAAATTTCCCGTATTTGTAAAGCGTTAGCTTTTTGACGCGAGAATGGTAAGGACATTCGTCTATGTTTTTTGCATGGGAAAAAATACCCAATTAGTTCGTAAAATCATAACGCGTTAATAGAGTATTATTGTTAAAATTTGATTTTCGGAAATTTCCCGTATTTGTAAAGCGTTAGCTTTGGGCGCGAAAATGGTGAGGACGTTCGTCTATGTTTTTTGCACGGGAAAAAATACCCAATCAGATCGTAAAATCATAACGTGTTAGTAGAATATTATTGTTAAAATTTGATTTTTGGAAATTTCCCGTATTTGAAAAGCCTTACCTTTGGGCGCGAAAATGGTAAGGACATTCGTCTATGTTTTTTTTACGGGAAAAAATACCCAATCAGATCGTAAAATCATAACGTGTTAGTAGAGTATCATTGTTCATATTTGATTTTTGGAAATATCCCGTATTTGTGAAGCGTTAGCTTTGGCCGCGAAAATGGTAAGAACATTCGTCTATGTTTTTTGCACGGGAATAAATACCCAATCAGATCGCAAAATTATAACGTGTTAGTAGAGTATCATTGTTAATATTTGATTTTTGGAAATATCCCGTATTTGTGAAGCGTTAGCTTTGGCCGCAGAAATGGTAAGAACATTCGTATGTTTTTTGCACGGGAATAAATACCCAATCAGATCGTAAAATCATAACGTGTTAGTAGAGTATCATTGTTAAAATTTGATTTTTGGAAATTTCCCGTATTTGTCGATGATCCCAGATTCTCGCTATCGATTTCAAATACTCTGAAGATGTTATTCAAATATTTTACACCCATAGAAAATGCTCGAAACCACGAGGCGACAATTTTGTGACGTTATTTCTAGGTATTTATTGGGCGACTAATGTTATGGGGTTTGTCATACAACGGCGAGAAAGGTGCCAGAGCTGTTCTCGAGATGATGAGAAAAGAGATCGACAAGGCATTTGCCCTAGCAGGTGAAAATTTGAATTTTTACCCCTGACATAAATCGTGGATTGGTAGGACGACTTCTATAAATAATTGTTCGTTCGCAGGTTGCGCATCCGTAAAGGATGTTTCGAGGGACATGATCGTCCATGAATCACGCCTTTGTACCCATTCCTCTAAACTTTAACTTTTCCTCCGCTAACGAAACATAAACGATCTTCTCCATCTTACTTGCCTTTGAAAAGCATCTATCTACAATTGAGAAGGAAGTACAGGCCACTTTATTGGAACGTCAAGCAAACGATCTACACGTATTCGGTACACGTAAGACCTAATTAGGTGATACTATATGAGCCGCTCAGTGCACACATCGACTAACTCCACTTTTTCAAAAATCTTAAATTTAGGTGTCAAAGCACTTGGTATAGTCATAACTTTTTATATTTATAATATCTTTCCTGATTAATAGAGATTAACACCATTAAACGACACAATTTTTTTGGGCATTGAATAATAAGTAATTTATTTTAGAAGCCATTTTGATTAACTCCATACTCTAATGTAAATCGTAGACGAATACCTGGCAGTATAGTATTATTGGATTATCTGTTGCGGCCGTACATCGACGCTTTTTTTTTTTTAAACAGCCGAAGATGATTTCCCCCTTTCAACAATATGAGTAATAAAATCGCATCAGCAAACAGATAGAAAGAAGCGGAATGCAGACGGTAGTTAGTATAACAGTGATCTCTCACGCTGAATGCTACTGTATACTTCACCAATATTACACAGACTACATATTTTTTGGTCTTTTCAACATTACTCCCTGATTGTTTTTAAAGAACTAAATATTATACCGTTATAAACAAGATGAGTGAAACTAATAACAATGTGGATGTGGAAAGCAGTGATGGTTCTTCAATACGATTTATCAGCAGAAAGTCTGGGGCAAGAAGACGTTTATCGTGTTTCTCGGATTCATCCGATTGCAACGGTACAAATTCCCCAACAAACCCATCGATTGGGAGGAAAAGAAGTCGTCATCCTGATAAATGGGCACGAAATTTACGAAAGCATAACGGAACAAAAGGTTTGGCATACAGGAATAGGGGAGGAAATTTAATACCTGCAAAAACATTTGTCGATATAAAATGCAGACGATTATTTTTTGGCTATTCTTTCTTATTAATTTTATATACCGTTAGATGAAAACTATAACTGTATTTATGTATTCTACATTATATATTTGAAGTTATATTATAATAGGAATTTTAAAAAAGAATCTCTTTCATTCTTCTTACTTCATCGCATTTCTCAACTTTTTGTTTTATGGAGTTAATCACTGTGTGCACGGAGCGGCTCATATTCCAAAGGTGTCACTCGTATAATTTGATCTGCTGCTGTTACGCAAATCCTAATGCCGGGTTCGCACGGAGCGTAAACCAATTCTAAACCGTGCTTTCGTCCTACACGTTCCGTCTGAACGTACAATGGTGGACATGAATGCCCCCCCCTGCAGATACGGCATCGTCTGTGCAGGATGGGAAGGCATTGATGTCTCCCAGTGTACCATCGTGAAACTTCCGTTCGAAATCACCAAGCCACGAAACAAGGGTGAACAGATCGAACATGTTTGATTTTTCAGTCGTATGCCCCTCATCGTGAAACAAAATGACGTCCCAACGCTGATTAATTAAATTTCACGATAATGAAACAGCACATTTTCTGGATTTGTATAAAATGGAAAAGGTTCTACAAGATCCTACTTTAGAAGAATATCGCAACCGAGACTTGCAAGCGGCCACAGCTAAAAGAATGAGCGAGTCTTTAAATACATCTGGATTTGGACCAAAATAGGTGATTGCCAAATTAACAAATTTAACAAGTTCTTATTGTCAAGGATTGAAGAAAACGTGTTGCTCCCAAGTTTCATCGTTGCGATACCCCCTCTCTAACCCATTAGCGTCGTATTTTACGCTTTTCACGCTTTTATTGCGTTATTTGACAAAAGTGCCCTATTCTTATTTTCAATATTTCACGTAAAACGTAACTCAAAATGGCTCTCGGCAATTAGATCATTCATGGTCGGCGTTTCGTTTAAGGTGAAGTGAAACACCTTTCAAATCAGTCGATTCGAATACACTTTTTTTTAAGGGTATTAGACCAAACTGTCCGAAACTTTGACACATCACTCCTGATCATCTGAGAATTGTCCTGACACGTTCAAAATTTGGATTTTTTAACAAAATTTTTTAACTCAGCCCAGACCAGAACCAAAATGGCGTCGAGCTATCATATTTCGATCGATATACAATTATCGAAGGCTCTGATATGAGAATCGAAAGGGTCAGGACAATTTCACGACAATTTAGAACATTCTGGTAATCAATAAACTCGCATTTGAACGGGATAAGGGCAAAAAAAGTGTTGTTTGCGCTTCTATGCCAAAACGATGGAAATACGAGGTCTCGGAGTGAAAATTTAATTGACCTGGAAATCACAGATGGCGCAGGGGGTCCCTCTGCAGTCAATTGGGGCCCCAGAAAGCTTGAATCCAGTGGATTTCTGGAGTTTTACTTCGATTTCTTGATATTTATTGTAGGAAAACGACAGGTGGATTATGCCATTTGGTACAATATTCAATGTAATTCGACCCAGTTGTCAATATAAAAACGAACGTCGGCAACGTAGGCATTTAGAAAAATCTTCTCTATCAACGTTGTTCAAGTTCCTCGACGTGTTTCACTTCACCTTAAGACTGTCAAATTAATGCGAACGATTCACGCATTCGACCGTCGTGATTATCCACGCAGGCATATACGAGTCAGTCACGACAGTAGTTCACGTTCCATGGAAACCCGGCATAAGACTGGCAAATCATTGCGAACGATTCACGCTTTCGACCGCGGGATTCTCTACGCAGGCATACACGCTAGAATCGTTCACGACAGTAGTTCACGCCCCATGGGAACCCGGCATACGACTGGCAAATCAATGTGAACGATTCACGCTTTCGACTGTCGGGATTATCCACAAAGGCATATACGAGTTGTTCACGACAGTAGTTCACGCCCCATGGGAACCCGGTATAAGACTGGAAAATCGATGTGAACGATTCACGCTTTCGACTGTCGGGATTATCCACAAAGGCATATACGAGTTGTTCACGACAGTAGTTCACGCCCCATGGGAACCCGGCATAAGACTGGAAAATCATTGCGAACGATTCACGCTTTCGACCGCGGGATTCTTTACGCAGGCATACACGCTAGAATCGTTCACGACAGTAGTTCACGCCCCATGGAAACCCGGCATGAGATTGGTAAATCAATGCGAACGATTCACGTTTTCGACTGTCGGGATTATCCACGCAGGCATATACGAGTCGTTCACGACAGTAGTTCACGTTTCATGGGAACCCGGCATAAGACTGGCAAATCATTGCGAACGATTCACGCTTTCGACCGCGGGATTCTCTACGCAGGCATACACGCTAGAATCGTTCACGACAGTAGTTCACGCCCCATGGGAACCCGGTATAAGACTGGTAAATCAATGCGAACGATTCACGCTTTCGACCGTCGTGATTATCCACGCAGGCATATACGAGTTGTTCACGACAGTAGTTCACGCCCCATGGGAACCCGGCATAAGACTGGCAAATCAATGCGAACGATTCACGCTTTCGACCGCGGAATACACGCTAGAGTCGTTCACGACCGTGGTTCACGCCCCGTGGGAACGCGGAAAAAGAGACGAGGGGAAAATAAACGACAGCTTCTACACCATGGTTGGTATTTTATTGAATATATGGTCGCGTGCGCGAGCGTGCACGACGCGCGTGTATATGCATCCGTGTGTGCATAGGCATACGCTACATACAAACATACACTTACTTACTTCCTATGCATATCTCTGATATGGTACACACGTACGGCTATACGCTTATACACAGACGCGTGCGGACGCGCGAGCGCGGGAGGGCGGGAAGAGGCGCACCCGCCCTCGCATGGCCGTTTTACTCTCAAAGCGGACTCATCGTACCTAGCCACGTTCACGGACACGCAAGCGTGTCGGGGAATGTCCGGAACGGTCGCTTTCGGAGTAAAACCGGAACCGTCGCGGCTGCAGCCTCGCAATCGGCGTTTCCCGCGTCCGGCCGTTCCTTCTCGCGCTCGAGAACGATCGAAACCGGTGGTGTATTGACTGGTTCCGTAACTAGGGCAACACGCTACGATATCACGTCTTTGCAAATATATCCTCGTTACGATAGCGGTAATATAACGGTTAATGATACAGTGGTTATTATTCAGCTTTTGGTTATATGCGAGATAAACCTTTTCCATCCGTCTCTCTCTCTCCCTCTCTACCCTTCTATGTATATTATGTATACCTATCCTGAATATGTAATGTACACATGTGCAACATATATATGTGTAATATGTATACGATATATACATGCATTCGCGCGGGCACGCGCCCGCCCTCGGTTATAGCTTCTGGCTGCTTCTCTTTTTTGTACACGCGACGTCGATCTCGCTCTCGTTAACTCGAACGAAGCGTGTCCGCGTGAGCTCGAGTGCGCTTGCGCGGCCCGAACCTCCGGAAGAACTCGAGGACGCGTCGAATCCAAAATGGCGGCCCGACAAGGGCACTCGCGCCCTGCCGACACGGAACGTCACCTTCGCGCATTTATCGTTACGGTTAACGACGGAACTGTTTGACTTTGCGCTCTACTAGGATACACACTCATCTTATTTAGTTTAACACGGTCTTACGATTCGACGGCGTCTTCTCGTCGGGCCCGAATGTAGAAGTACGTCCGCGGGAGGAGCGATTTAGTCGAGCGTACGCATATAGAAGTGTAAAATTGTATTTGGTCCAGAGAGATTTTCCAATTCTTCTCGGGTTGGTTTCTCCTGCCCGGACCCCCGCGTTTGTCGCCTTCGTCTTCGCGGGACTCTTCCTCGAGAATCGCGAGAGTCGAGCAAAATCCACCGGGAGGGAGAGGACTTCTTCCCTGGACTGAGCGACCGGGGAAGACTCTCGAGGAGCTGCTTTATCTCACTCTGGAAAAAATACATCTTCCTCCCCCGGGCGTTTTTAAGCTCCTCCCGTGATTTTCGGAAAGATGTCCGACGAGCGTCAACGGTGCGTCGTCCGACTCGTTAACGGGGCCCACGATATTATCTCTCCCTCTTTTAGTCCTTTAACCCTTTCGTTACCTTGGACGAGATATCTCGCGACCCAATACTGGCCGATTAACGCTTTTGACGAGATATCTCGCGACCCGATACTGGCCGATCAACGCTTTTGACGAGGTATCTCGCGACCCGATACTGGCCGATCAACGCTTTTGACGAGATATCTCGCGATCCGGTAGTAGCGGATTAACGCTTTTGACGATAATCTAGCTTTCTAGCACCAATATTTTCACATTCTAGATGAATATATTTTATAACTAATTCTATTCGTATAGCTAAAAGGAAGAAATAAATACAGCTACTACCGGATCGCGAGATATCTCGTCAAAAGCGTTGATCGGCTACTACCGGGTCGCGAGATATCTCGTCCAAAGTAACGAAAGGGTTAACCGTTTGCGTACCAGATGGTTCTGAAAAAACGGGATCGAAAAGCGCCAAAGAGCGCGATCGCGCTCCTTCGTCTGTTTCGGCCAAATGCCCTGGCTTTTCTCGACACAAAATCTGAAGAGCGCGAAAGTGGCTCGTGGTACGCAAACGGTTAATGCCTGCATTTCCACCGACCTCGGGCAAAATGATAATCCTCGGTTACGAGTTGCACGTTCCCCCACATTTTAACGGGGAGATAATTTCAACTAACCACCGTTTAGATTAACCAGTCAAATTAGATCGTTTAGCTTAAGTTAATCGAACTTTAACCTAAAAACCGCACAAACGTGAGAAAAACATGGATCAGACCGGGGACGTATTAACATATCGTGACGAAACGGATGAAGACGTTTTTCATCGTATTTACAAGTACTTAATGATCGAAGTACGCTTGAAAATATTTTATATTCATTCTTAACCGAAGAAATTTACTTCTTCAGGCTTGAATCTGTTAAATAAGTTCTTGCACGAAGATAGGCGGACTTCGTGTCTCGAGAAGGGCGCATCCATCTTGATTTCTAATCAATCGGAATATCAGTCAAGGTTCGCTAAGTATAATACGTTATGTAATATACGTGGTTTTCTCCGGGTATATTACAACGTATAATACGTCCCTAGTTTTCTACGCGAGCGCAAGGTATATCACGCCTTTCTCTTTTTAAATATAAAATAAGAAATCCAATTAGAAATTTCACATTAACCAGGGTTAAGCCGATAGAATTTGAACACAAACGCCAAATTAATTATTTCTTAACAGTTTTCACGCGTTTATATGTGCGCTAAAGGACGTTAACCTCGGGAATACATATAGCATGCATCTGTGGATTCCGCCATATTGAAAATGTAAAATTCTAAACAATTTCGAACACAAGCTCCAAATTAATTCATTGTTCCTTAAAATATTTCCGTATTTACAGATGTGTTAAGAGACGTTTATAACCTAATAAAAGCCATATATCATCCATTGCGGCATTCTTCATATTGGAAACGTAATTTATTGGTTATCTACGATTATCTCCAGCAAACTACTTTGTTACGTAATATAATGAAAAACCTCGAAAAATGGGGAATTACCCAACCCTGGTATCAGCCAATCACGTGAAAGCGTTCATCGACGATTCGATTTACTTCGAATGGGGTAACGATTTGTTAATCGCGCCCTAAATAAATGTGGGGGAATATGCTTACGTTTTTAACCCATGATTAACTTACAAGGAAGATATCTGAGGTGTTCCCCTCCGATTTTGTTCATTTTTAAATATGTTATAGCGGACTAAAATCTAAGGGTCTCGTGTTTTTTTTATCGGCGGATAAACATTTTTAGGGGGTGAAATCAGGTTTCAAGGTTGGCCGTGCAAGGGGGTGAGTTGGCTGCTTCATATAGAAGCACTCGACCGGTTTACATGAAACAGCCGTCAAAATGTAGGGAATGAAGAATTATGAATCATGCATTTAGAATTTTTCAAAAAAATTCATTTTTAAGGGATGAGCCACCCCTTTGAATATTTCTATTACCCCTTACGCGAGCACTAATTGCTCTATCCATATGAAACTTGGTTAATTTATAGACCAGAACAATACAAAAAAAGTCTCATTTGGATAGAAAAATTACTGCTCGCGTAAGGGGTAAAAGAAGTATTCAAAGGGGTGGCTTACCCCTTAAAAATGAATTTTTTCGAAAAATTCCAAATGCATGTTTCATAATTCTTCGTTCCCTACATTTTGACGGTTGTTTCATGAAAATCGGACAAGTGCTTCTATATGAAACAGCCAACTCACCCCCTTGCACGGCCAACTTTGAAGCCTGATTTCATCCCCTAAAAGTGTTTATCCGCCGATAAAAAAAAAACACGAGTCCCTTAGATTTTAGTCCGCTATAACATATTTAAAAATGAACAAAATCGGAGGGGGACACCTCAGGTACCTTCCTTGTTAGAGGTTAACTTTAACGCACGGTTAGGTACCCAATGATTTAACCGAGGTAGGTGGAACCGGCATAAGAGTTTGCGAGGGACGAGCTTCTGGATATTTTTCCGTGTTAGAATCGTATGGAAGTATTCGAGTCGTGTTGGAAATATTCAAATTAGACTGCAGAGAGCGGTACGGAAATACAGAGCTGCGTCGCCCTGGCGTGTGTAGGCGTGTAGGAGTGAAAATCAAGAGGGAGGAAGAGAAATTCTGTACAATGGCGGACATGATTGCCTCCCCTGCGGATATGGCATCGCCTGTGCAGGTTGGGAGGGCATTGATGTCTCCCAGTGTACTTTGGGAGGAGAAGCTTCAGAACCGGGAAATCGTTAATATCTGTCTTGTACCGTTGCATGCGGACGTCAAAGTATATACTCGCTGACACGAAAGCGTGCGTTATATATGTATACACGCGTACTTCGTAGGAATTCAGCTCAAAAGCAGAATGACGAGTTTAGGTTCTACTTTTCCTATGTTATTCGATGTGCTTGAACGCGTATGACGTAAATGGAAATTAAGGTGAAAATGTTAAAATAATTGGACTTAACGGCTTCTTTCGGATTTCTTAATATCACAAATCTTTAGAAAAGTGAAACCGAGTACGACCAATTTTCTCTGAAAATGTTTCCACGATGAATAATAAATTGAAAAGGAAAAGAAAAAAAATGAATTCGGCGCGAAACTCTATCGAGTTTCTTGATTATATTTCGACGTCTATCATAATAAATCTGGATTAAATACCAATTTATGTTATACCTTTTTCCGCATCTCGGTATCTTAATTAATGGGAAGAAAAAAAAAATAAAAAAAAACATATTAATTTATATCCGAGCTCGTCGACTCGAAATGAGGAAAAGTGTAATTTGAACGGGCAATTTCTGACTTTTGAGCGCCCAATTTTGAAACGTATTATAGCACATTACGTACACATGCATATGTTTATCCAATATGATTAAACGTAACACTTTTCCCTACACATCGTACATACCACAGAACACGAAACATGGAAAGACGGTTCATCCTAATTTTCGCGGGATATGTAATATGCCCAAAGACCGCATATGTCCGCTTCAGGGAGCAATACGCAAGAGAGGGTCAATGCAACCGATAAGACAGATCTGGGTGGTTTCAGAGACAGAGACACGGTACGTGTCTACGGCAGATATGCAACGTTACGTCAGAACCAGAACCGACAATATTCGACCGAAGTTCGAAGCGATCCCCTTGCTCGAAGGAACGATTCGGAGGAGAATCGGCAAGTAAGAAAGATCGAACTTCTGAGAGAAATGTTGAACCTCCTCGTCTCGTCCACAAGGAAAGCAGAGCTTCGAACTCGGTTATGGACCCTTTCGAGTGGGATCGGTAATTCCTAAGAACATCCATCACGCCGTGTACGGCGACGTCGACGAAGAGCTCTAAAACGACGAAGGACAACGACACCGCTTAGCTAAACACCGAAACACGGAGCATAATTCTCCAATCCCTGCGATCAGTCTGAAATCTAATTGACAAATGTGCAAATCGCGAACAACGCACGCGGCCGCTCGTATTCGCCGTGAATCGTTATATGGGATATTTAGCGACTATATATCAATTCGCACGAGTGCTAAACCTAGCAATCTATCTCCGGGTTCTCGTCCAAGAATCGAGACTCTAGATCTGGCAAGACGAACGACGCGTTCAGCTCGACAGTCGCAAGGTCGCCTTGAAAATCTCGCCGAAAGGGTGCATTGCCTAGATGCTTCTCCGCGAATCGCGCGGCAACGCCCTCGGCCGTTCGTTTGGCATTCGCGAAATCGACGCTAATATCTCCGGGAAGAGGTAGGATCCTTGGAAGAGTCGACTGTACGATGATCCATTTTTGCGGCCCGCGGAGCCCTTTCTTGAACAATCGCGTCGTGTGCAAAAAAACACCTTACGCACTTTGCCAATCGTGGACCTTTCGGAAACGTCAAATAGTCCACTATTTTCCGTAATCGCAATCAAATACCCTACTTCGTTGAGTATTTGCAGGTTCATCTCGCGTTGCTTCTTAAAATATATTCTTTGAATTTCCCGTTTCGGTACTTTTACGCAACGACACCACGTAGGGTCGGTGGCGGGAATATATTTTGAAGAGTACTTAGTATTATAAGCGTCGAGTAGTGGGGTGTTCGATGCGAAAAACGTTTAGTGGTTGACCGTTTCCGTCCAGGCCGTTTTGATGACGGTTACTTCCGCTTAAAATGAAGAATACAAATACCTCGAGACTCCGCAGCCACGGATAACACCGGCTAAAAGTTGGTAATACTTTTATTTATCCCTACGATCTATCCGTACGCGGTTGTAGGGGGACACAGTTGGTGTATAATTTTAAGCACATACAACTCCTTAAAACGATCAATGCACAATCGACTTTTCATGCGTATGTCGCTTGCGCGACGAATTTAAACGCGCTTAATCGTTACGACTTTACGTTCTAGGATCTCGGATAAAACATTTCAATAGTCCGAATCATTTGGTGGGAAAACGTTGCATAAAGCGGTTCGCGAGTTAACTGGTCGCGCTATCAACGGTCTCTTCTTTTACGGGCTCTCGATAAGACATCGTGCTTCTTTAGTCGCGAAAATATTCAATCCCGAGGGTCGCCTAAAGTTTATGTACCAAATCGGGTTTCTCGAAAGTGGTTCCCGACGAAGCTCTCAAGCAACGCTTCCGGTAGTTTTCTTAGTATCACAAGAATACATCTAGGTCTCTAATTTTATTCTAGACAGTACTAATCTTATCAACGTCGTTACGTCTCTCGCGTTACATACTCAAAAGGAACTACCCTATCAAACAGGTGGTAACTGCGTGATCAGTTGTCGCTTTGATCGAACCTTTCTATTTTCCTCTCGAGCCAAGTAAAATAACGCTCGACGATCCTCTATGTAACACTTCTCGCGTTCGAGTTGTCCACTAAAATTCTTACTCTCTACCGTTCTATGTCTACGGTTCTCGTGTCGTTGAACGATTTAACATTAAACGCTTACCAGCGAACAGGATGACGAGTGGTGTTTTAAAGCTCTCCTAAAGTGGATGTCAGTCGTGAAGGTTTTGCGCAGAAAGGACATTAAGCTCGCTCGCTCCTGAGGAAGGTTGTGCCAAATGGTGCTACCAAGATTTCAATCGCCCGCTTCGAAAATGCTTCGCTTAAATTGTCATTCACGCGAAGCGACTCCCTCTCGTTTAAATATCGTGTCAAAATTCCTGTTATATCCGAGAAAATCGCGACCACGTTCAAATTTGGACGACGTCGCAACCAATGTCCACGTCGTGCGTGATATCCGCACCTTAAGGTGTTATGAAAGTGTCGTACACATATACCAAAAAAGTGAAAATATGAAAGTTCTCTCCAAATTGAATGCACTAAATAATTACAAAAATTTAACGCGTGATTATGGAGGCCTTAAGAAAGAATGCGATGCTCGTGAAATATCACATTGCAAAGAAAAATGTCATTCATCCCATACTAGAACCAAGGACATATATTTTTATTGAAAACTGAAATTTTATGAGCATCCAGTTCTTCCTCAGGGCCTCCATAATCACCTGCTGAAGTATCAAATGATTCGGTGCACCGATTTTACAGAAAAGTTACATATTTTTACGTCTTGATATATATAGAATGACCGTTTCATTTCACCTTAAGACACCGCAAGATGTGACGTTTAACGGCACGAGCGAGTACACTTCCATCTTGAAAAAGAAACGTATACGACAGAAATGAACTCGGTGAAAAAAAATGTATTTAATGAATAATTGAAGTAGAACAAAAAGAGGTCTAAATTACTCCGAACGTTTGACTCGCTTAAGGTCCCAGATTCGTGCCCCGGTGCCGAGCTCGTGCGGATAAGAACTTAACCCTTATCACTCCACCCGGCAGTAACGGTGCCGCCTTCTAATACTCTTCTAATATTCTTGGAGTGATAAGGGTTAATCGGCACCGTGTCAAAAGGACTTCTTCGGCATGGAAATGGCTTGCGGTCGAGTAATCGTAGAGAGCGGGGGTGGGATGACGATGCCGGTGAGCGTGGGTAAATGTGCACTCCTTCGAGTATTCTTTCTCTCGCCGTTTGCGCCCAAAGAAGGAAGAACGGAGCGAAAGAAGTCTCGAAGGCACGGGCGAGTGTTCGTTGTGGTCAGTTCTCACGTGAAGCGCCTTTCGCCTTTCTTCTCTCCTTTGCATCGAGTTACGTCGGGCGTTCTCTGTCCCCTTTTAGATCCTAGATGCTAGGTGCCGAGGTACGCACGTGTTAACATGAGAGTGTTTGCGGCAATCGCGCGTAACTTCGGTGTTAAACGATGCGCTATGCGTGTGTTCCGTGAGGTGTCCGATATCTCTTCCCTCCTTTTCTGTATTACAATTAATGATTACAACACGACTGTAACATATATTTACATTCACTATCTACATTATCTACACATCAACAAATGGTTAGTTAGCGTTTCGTAGTATCGTGTTGAATCTCTGGTTACCATTGGCTTAGAATTTGATCTTTTGGTAGCTCCGATCCTCGTCCGAGCGTTCGTGCTCCGCGGCGACTGTTTCGTTCGTCCGCGTTTCCGGCGGCGATCGAGGCACAAAGTAATCGTAATCTTGACAACTCACGGCGTCGAAACGCGTCGCGCAAAGGTGCCCCCATCGATCCGGCACGATCGACCGAGTATCGATTGAGTTTAGCATATATGATATATATATATATATATATAAAAAGAAACGGGATAAAATAAATACGCTTAATTAAAAAAAGAAGAGAAAAAGAAAGGGAAGGAAAATTAAGAATAAATGACAGTCTGTAAAAGCCGAGTCGTCGAAGGCCTCGGGAGCTAACGGGTAGACATTTCTGCCGTTGCAAGATCTTCTCTCTCCTTTCTCATCCGCTTCCCATACGGCGTTCCATCCTCCCTTCCGCGGTTCAGTCTAAAGTACTTCTCTTCCTCTCGTGTATGTACATTCCCCAATCCGTCCGGTTGCCTTCATCGACTTCTTCCACCTCCGACGAAGCGAAACTACCAAGTTTCGGAAGGTGAGGCGCTTCTCCGAACGACGACAGCTTCGCAAAACCCGTTGAAAATCTCCTTCGACTTCTCTCCTGCTTCTGAGGTCGGGTCCCGTCGCGGAACCTCCGATTCAGGTTAAATTAGGCTGAGGCGAGGACGAGAGTGAAATCGTGGGTAGGAACGAAGCCGTGTCCTATATGAATGCCCAACATTCCAAAGTTTTCACGACGAAATCCTCCCTGGGTGCCAGCGGCTCGTTGCCGTACGTGCTACAGGATTGCGTCCTTCCTTGGTACAGGTCTCCGTCCAGCCACAGTCCGAATTTGCCGCTGTAAAAGGTATCAGACTTGGATTAGATCTCGAAACGGATTTCATCGGCTCGTTCCGGAGTCGATAAATCATCTCGTCTTATCCGGATTCGATAAAGCTTTTCCCGCATTGCGGGGGTTTGTCCGAAGGCCAAATAACTCGGCTACGAACTGTACGAGAAACCGGTGAGAAAATGGATGGGAATAGAAATCCCAGTTAAAATAGACCAGATGGCCTTGCGGAGGGAGGATAATGTGTACTTACTCTCCGGCGCCTATTGCGAGACTCTCGTTGTTTCCCTTGATGAAGAAGGAGTTGTTGCCTGTCCAGTTGAAGGCTTGGAACCTTGGCGTGAACCTGAAGAGGAGGGATTCACCGGTACCGTAGAAGTAGTCGCTCACGTGCAAAGAGCAAGACGTTAAAGCACCAAAAACCTGTGAAAATTAACAATCACTTAAGAGGTTATGAAAGGCGATAAGAAATTTAATCGAGGTCGATAAAGTAAAATTCATCTATACCCTATTTGGGGGGGGGGGATGACGTTTTGAATACTCAAGTGGTAACATAAATTGGCGCGTCCCATTATCGACATTTATATTTACGTCGAAGTCTTTTACAGTCTACGTTGAGAATTATACGAACTGAAGGGTTCTATATATCATTTCGGTAAAGTAATAATAAAAAGATCGACGTAAAACTGCCGAAATCCCAGGAATTCGTGACTGTTTATATTTTGACCAACGTCGCCATCTAGGACGTTTAGCTGCAACTAAATTTTTGCTCTCAAAACTGGTGTTAGCCGCAGGACAAACCAGCATTCTCTTGCAATCGTTGGTGAAAGTATTTACTACATTTTCCCATCTGACTGTAATATTTCGTTTCCACGGTATTCTAAATTGTTCGAGCTAGGCTCTGAAACTCTTCATTTTCGATTCTAAGCCTCCAAGACGCGCAAAACATCGAAAACGTGCCCGGACCACGCCATGTTGGTTCTTGTCTATGGGAAGTAAATAAATATTTGGTCAAAAATGAAATTTCATGAGTTTCAGGGCCTACTTTCGGGCCTCCATATTCACGTGGTAAAATTTGAAACGAATCGGTACACCCAATTCGGAGAATACTTTCCCCAACGATTTGACTTCTCAGATATATATAGGCTGACTCTTTCATATCCTCTTAAGGTGAAGTGAAACACGTCGAGGAACTTGATCGACGTCGATAAAGAAGATTTTTCTAAATGCCTACGTTGCCGACGTTCGATTTTATATTGACAGCTGGGTCGAATTATATTGGGTATTGTACCAAATGGCATACTCCACCTGTCGTTTTCGTACAATAAATATCAAGAAATCGAAGTAATACTCCAGAAATCCTCTGGATTCATGCTTTCTGGGGCCCTAATTGACTGCAGAGGGACCCCCTGCGCCATCTGTGATTTCCAGGTCAATTAAATTTTCACTCCAAGACCTCGTATTCCCATCGTTTTAGCATAGAAGAGCATACAACACTTTTTATGCCTTTATCCCGTTCAAATGCGAGTTTATCGATTACCAGAATGTTCTAAATTGTCGTAAAGTTGTCCTGACCCTTTCGACTCTCATATCAGAGCCTACGATAGTTCTATATCGATCGAAATATGAGAGCTCGACGCCATTTTGGTTCTGGTGTGGGCCAAGTTAAAAAATTCTTTTCAAAAATCCAAATTTTGAATATGCCAGGACAATTCTTAGATGATCAAGAGTGATGTGTCAAAGTTTCGGACAATTTGATCCAATACCCTTAAAAAAAAGTGTTGTATTCGAATCGACTGATTTGAAGGGGGTTTCACTTCACCTTAAATGGTTTCCTTCTCCGTTACATTTTCTTGTACCAGCGGCACGGACTTTTCATTTCGACACGAATATGACACTTTTTTTTCGAGAGTATTGGATCGAACCATCCGAAACTTTGACACATGACTGGTGATCACCCAGGAATTGTCCTGACACTTTCAACATTTGGATTTTTGAAAAACAAATATGTTTGGACTTATCCTAGACGAGAATCAAAATGGCGTCGAGCTGTCATATTTCGATCGATATACAAGTATTGAAGGCTTTGATATGAGGAACGAAAGTCTCAGGACAATTATACATCAAGTTAGAACACTAATAATGGAGAAATTCGCATTTAAACGAAATAAAGGCAAAAGAAAGTGTCTTATTCGCTTCTGTGTTAAAACGAAAGTAGTACGAGGTCTCGGAGAAAAAATTTAGTTGCCCCTAAAATCACGGATGGCGCAGGGTGCCACTCTACAGTCAATTAGGGCATAAAAAACCGTGAATCCGGGAGATTTCTGAAGTTTTCCTTCGATTGCTGTATAATTATTGTGCGGAAACAACAGATGGAGTACGCCTTTTAGTCCTATACCCAATATAATTCGACACGGCTGTCGATATAAATTCCAACGTCGGCAAAGTAGGTATTTAGAAGAATCCTTTTTACCGACGTCGATCAAATTTCTCGACGTGTTTCACTTCACCTTAACATCGGAGAACTTTCTAAATGACAACCCGTAAACTAGAATGAATGTAATTTTTCTTTTCACGTTCTAAGAACTTGATTGCATTCTTCCAGATAACATGGAAAAGGCATAATCTGCCTTTCGCTATTTCGGGGGTGTGCGCGAAAGGGGAAGTCTACCATAGAACGGCGATGCAACGTTAGGAATGATTTTTCCTAGCGTTTAGACTTACATTCCCCTCCGTGTCTTCGATGACGAGAAGGATCGGACTCTCAACTTTAGCCATCTTGCGATACATGCTGTTGAGGCTGAAGCCATGTTGGCTCGTGCTGAAGACTAGAGTCCAGGGGTAGCCCTCGGTCCTGGCAGAGAGATGCCGGCAAAGGTGTTCTCTGTGTTCCTCGCTGAGGATTTCGGTAGTGCCCACCAGATCCGGAATCGTCACCTCCGTGCCGATCAGATCGGGAAGTATCACGTCCGTGTCCAAGGAGATCCCGGTGTTTGCATTTAGAGCTCGCCTGAGCTCCTCGCTAATAGACAGCGTCTGAAGAAACGAAAGATTAAGCATTAGCCCATTGGAGAGTAACAATTAATTCCATCATTCTCGAAAATCCGGGAACGAGGACGATCGGTCGAACGAGAAACTTTATGGAAATATCGTACGGAAGCTTCGTCGATCTTCGTTTTCTCGTTCCACCTTAAGGTGATGTGAAAGTGGCGTTAAAGATGTCCGGTTTATGACACTTTCCTCCGAACTGGGTGTAAGTATTAAATGTAAATATGAAAGCTATAAGGTTCCGATATTTTCAAAATTTCTTATAAAAAATGAAATTTCATGATGGGTCAGGATCTTCCTCGTAGCTTTCATGTTCACGTCGTAAAGTTTGGAACGATTCGGTACACCCAGTTCGGAGAAAAGTTTTATGAACGATTGAGCTTTCGGATGCCACTTTCACATCCCCTTCGGATCCTCATTAAAATATCCGATAAACATGGCGAGAAACGCGTAAATGCAGCTTTGCAAACCGTATAAACACAAATGAAGTATTTCGCTTGAATACGGCCCTTGGCATCCATCTTTATCCGTTTCCATCCATTTTTATGAGATATATTGGGGTATCTAGGACTAAAGGGTCGATGCACCTGCGATAGGAACATCACAGGTCACTACTGTATCACGATGCGCTAACACAAACATATCTCTAATATCTAGATCTAAGACAACAAGAGCACAACTACTATGCATCCAGTGTCGTGTTGTTGCTGTTGTTCCGGTCGATGTTGTATATATAGGTGATCTCTGAGGAATAATTAATTGAGCAATGCACAGAGGGTTGTTGGGACATCCTTAGCGTTTACGAGTCAGGAATTGAACACATGTTAACATAGTGTGTGTTGTTTCGGTCGGTGTTCTATGTATTGGGTTGGTGCATAAGTTCGTGCGTTTTTTTCAACTAGGAAAACTAGTTACAAAAAGCGCATGAACTTATGCACCAACCTAATATATATGTTACGGTGAAACACCGAAATCTGGAGAATGTCGACTTTCACCGGTGAATGTCAACATTCACATAGTCGCTTCGTGTATGTCCGAAATATTTGCTAAATACCCTTATTTCTGACTTACACCGGTAAATGTTGACATTCACCGGTGTGTGATCGTCGACACACACTGGAGAGAGTCCGAATGTACAACAATGTAATGAAATATTCGATCTTTCACCGACGTATTTGGTATCTGTTAACATTCACCGGTGAAAGTCCACATTCTCCAATTTCGGTCATTCACGGTAACATATATATACCAGATTCGATAAATATAATCAAGAAACACGAAAAGAGATAATAGGACATCTTTCGTGTTTCAGTCTGCAATTGAATACATTTCTTAAAGTGTAGGGGTAGGTTCATGCCAACACAGGACATAGAGGGCAGAAATTATTTGAGGATAATTTCAAGACTTGCGAAAAATCTCGGGTGAAGCACGGCTCATAGAAGACATTTAAACTTTACAGGGTTAGCAAGAAGGGTTACGAATATGGCTAGATGTGAAAGAAGTGCAAATTTCTGCGGAAGAATTAGATATTCATTTTTAACGACATTGTAATCAGCACATTAATCTAGTTTATAATTGGTTTATACTTCTATCTCAATTCTAACTTAATTGTTCACAGTGATGAATTCATAGACAGGGTCTATGCTTTCCTTGTCTTTACCTTAACCTTTGTCCTAATCCTAAAAATCCCTAACTTTGAACTTATCTTAACTAATTCTGAGATTTTAAGGCAAAACGCGTAAACGTCATACGAAAAAGTGTGCGTAATATAAATATGTATTGTACATCATTCTCGTAAATTAATACATTATCGTTATTCGTAGCAGCGGTAACTTGGATAACGGCAAAGTAAACGACGCTGCTTATCCACTTCATGTTTTAATTAGGAACAGATTAGACAATTTATGCTATGATAATACCGAAATGTACGTATTGCGTATAAGCTGCAGAGAGGTGTAGAGTTCTAAATCCAGTAAGTTACGTCAGAAACGAAGAGAAATTCCCGGTAATTTATCGGTCNAATCCAGTAAGTTACGTCAGAAACGAAGAGAAATTCCCGGTAATTTATCGGTAATTTCTCCAAAGCCTTTTTTATCGAGAAATTATGAGAATTTGCATTTTTCAACAAAGCGAACGAGAGGTTTTGATTAGCTATAGAGAAACATCATAGAGGGGAATTTCCGTTGTACGTTGTCCGTAGCCCATCAAAACCTCCCATTCGCTTCGTCGCAGAATGAAATATCAGTTCGTTTGATCAAATCTCATGGAATTTTCCGTGAAGTTGTACATACGTGAATATTTTTAGCTGGAGTTAAATATGACCCTATAATCAATATTTTCTAATAGTAATTATTACTCTTTAGCTTGAACTTTAAAGTTGATTGAAAAAAAAAGTTATTTAAACGAAGAAACCTAAATTATAAATAACAAAATTAACGTTCTCTTAAATTCTCAATGTTCCCGGTAACTTATGGTATGTTTCGCAGTTACCTTCTCCAATTTAATGTTACCGAGAATTTTCGAACTCTAGGAGCAAGCCATCGATGGAGTTCAGTGTACACTGGACAAAATTATGTATCATTCCCCCTTAAAGTGAAATGAACGCATCGAGGAACTTGATCGACGTCGGTAAAAAAGGTTTCTCCAAATACATACGTTGCCGACGATCGTTTTTATATTGACAGCTGTGTCGAATTATATTCGATATTGTACCAAATGGCATACTGCACCTGTCGTTTTCCTACAATAAATACCAAGAAATCGAAGTAAAACTCCGGAAATCCTCTGGATTCATGATTTCTGAGGCTCTGATTGAATGCGGAGTGACATTTGAGTGCCTATGACATTTGACGATGAATTATGACAACGACGATGACGATGATGCAATAAAATGGATGACAGTTAGCACCAATGTAGTTCTCTTTTGTTACAAATATGTGCTGCATATACACAGTAATATAATGTAAGATAAGAGTAACAAAGTTACGCTACATTTATGTAGATATGATAGTAACAAACGTTATGTAACCTGTTAGCTCCATGTTACATAACTGGTAATTTACTGCATTGTAACAAATGGCATGTAACTAGTTAGCTCTATGTTACGTAACTTTTAGGTTATTATTTCGTAACGTTATGTTATTTGTTAGTTTTAAGTTACGTAAGTTACGTTTCGAAAGCGTAACATTTATCTAACAGTGTTCACTGGGAAGTTGATGTTATTTCTCCCAAGTAGACCAGAGAAAATCGGTTTCCGAGGATGACGCCTCTCCATATTTTTATAACGTTGATTTATTCATTTAGCGCGGGTGGTTTGTACGACTCGGCGTTAAGCCTCGACCATCGCCTTGCGTGACAGATGTTGCTTGTTAGCATAGGTGATATTCGACTCACACCTTCCTCCCAACAAACCGAAACCTCGACTGTTCATATCGAAGCGTTTCAGCGAAACCGCGTCGGATTTTCACTTAAAATCCGCACCCGATCTAATTTTCGCGTCCCTCACGGAGTTCTCATGTAGTTTGAGAATATCAACTGGCTTCTTTCCATCACAGAAATCCAGAATGAAGACAACTTTCAAGCCGAATTATTATTTGTAAGTATCAATCTCCGGGTGAAGAACTTAAGGTGAAGTGAAACACGTCGAGGAACTTGGTCGACGTCGATAAAGAAGATTTTCCTAAATGCTTACGTTGCCGACGTTCGGTTTTATATTGACAGCTGGGTCGAATTATATTGGGTATTTTACCAAATGGCATATTCCACCTGTCGTTTTCGTACAATAATTATAAAGAAATCGAAGTAAAACTCCAGAAATCCCCCGAATTCATGCTTTCTGGGGGCCTAATGGACTGCAGAGGGACCCCCTGCGCCATCTATGATTTCCAGGTCAATTAAATTTTCACTCCGAGACCTCGTATTACCATCGTTTCAGCAAAGAAGCGCATACAACATTTTTTTTGCCTTTATCCCGTTCAAATGCGAGTTTAACGATTACCAGAGTGTTCTAAATTGTCGTAAAATTGCCCTGACCCTTTTGTTTCTCATATCAGAGCCTTCGATAATTGTATATTGATCGAAATATGAAAGCTCGACGCCATTTTGGTTCTGGTCTGGGCTGAGTTAAAAAAATTTGGTTAAAAATCCAAATTTTGAATGTGGCAAAACAATTCTTAGATGATCAGGAATGATGTGTCAAAGTTTCGGACAGTTTGGTCTAATATCCTTAAAAAGAAGTATTGTATTCAAATCGACTGATTTGAAGGGGGTCTCACTTCACCTTAAGATGATATGAAAGGCGCTGAGAAATTTAATCCACATTGATAAAATAAGATTCATCTATACCCTTTTTGGTGGTAACGTTGTTTTGAATACTGAAGTGGTAACATAAGTTGGCGCGTCCCGTTATCGACATTTATATTCGGGTTGAAGTCTTTTCAAACTACGTTGAGAATTATACGAACTGAAGCATTCCGTATGTTATTTCAGTTAATTAACGATAAAAATTTCGATGTAAAACTGTCGAAACCCCGCGAATTCATGACTTTATATTTTGACGGACCAACGTCGCCATCTGTGACGTTTAGCTGCAACTAAATTTTTCCTTTAAAAGCACCGTTACCGACATTTATATTTATGTTGAAGTCTTTTACAGTCTACATTGAGAATTATATGAACTGAAGCGTTCCGTATGTTATTTCAGTAAAGTAACGATAAAAATTTCGATGTAAAACTGTCGAAACCCCGGGAATTCATGACTTTATATTTTGACGGACCAACGTCGCCATCTGTGACGTTTAGCTGCAACTACATTTTTCCTTTAAGGGGGTCATCCCGTGTGAAGGCTCTGTTGTTTAGCGTTTCTCGGGAATTTATTTGTGGCGAACTAAGTAAACATACAACTGGGAACTTGTTACCACATAATTATCCATATTTTGAGCAAACTTTACAACTTTTTCAGCTCGAAATCATCGCTCGTTGCTGAAGTACACGGCAATTTAGCCACTCATTAAAAAAAAAAGTGTATTGCGGTTGCCACGATTGCGGGCGTTCTGCTTATCTGAAACAAAAAAATCAAACGGCATTTTCATCTGCAAAGTATAAGCTAGTTTTTGAACTAGGATTATTAAAAAATATTGAAAGGTGAACTTCTGGCATTTTGTTGAACACTTTTTCGTGAATTTTCATGTTTTTTCACGACTTCGTCGACGTGCAAAAAAAAAACGGCTCGATGAATCAGAATTATCCTAATTTGCAAACTGCCTACATGTGTATTGAATAAGTCATTAAAATTTCAAAGGAATTCGTTCGATAAATTTCGAGATATTGTGTCTACCGATTTGAAAAATGTAGTTTTGAGAAAAACTACAAGACGTTTAAACCATTTTTTGGCGCTCGAGATATTTAGAAAAGATTACAAAGAAATATTTAGAAATTATTCTATGTTACTAGGGGTATGGATTTTCCATAGATGTCTAATATACGTACATGACACACTTCGTTCCGTGTGGGTTGTCTATTTATCATCGCTTCGAGATTGTTTGGATGGCAATCCGACGTCTCGTGGTAATCCAAACTTCAAACAAACTTCTGGAGGGGAACAAGATAAGTAATGGAAGGAAAATTCTCTTGCGTATCGTGCCTCTCTTATCACGAGACGGACTTTTTCAGGTGCAGCCCTAGTAGCACAAAATGTTTGTCTTATATTTCCTATATATTTAAGGTGAAGTGATCAGTCGATCTGAATACAACACTTTTTTTAAAGGTATTAGACCAAACTGTCCGAAACTTTGACACATCACTCCTGATCATCTAAGAATTGTCCCGACACATTCAAAATTGGGATCTTTAATCGAAATTTTTTAACTCAGCCCAGACCAGAACCAAAATGGCGCCGAGCTCTCATATTTCGATCAATATACAATTATCGAAGGCTCTGATATGAGAAACAAAAGGGTTAGGACAGTTTTACGACAATTTATAACACTCTGGTAATCGATAAACTCGCATTTGAACGGGATAAATGCAAAAAAAGTGTTTTATGCGCTTCTATGATAAAACGATGGGAATACGAGGTCTCGGAGTGAAAATTTAATTGACCTGGAAATCACAGATGGCGCAGGGGGTCCCTCTGCAGTCAACTCATATTTCGATCAATATACAATTATCGAAGGCTCTGATATGAGAAACAAAAGGGTCAGGACAGTTTTACGACAATTTATAACACTCTGGTAATCGATAAACTGGCATTTGTACGGAATAAATGCAAAAAAAGTGTTTTATGCGCTTCTATGCTAAAACGATGGGAATACGAGGTCTCGGAGTGAAAATTTAATTGACCTGGAAATCACAGATGGCGCAGGACGTCCCTTTTCAGTCAATTAGGGCCCCAGAAAGCACGAATGAAGAGGATTTCTGGAGTTTTACTTTGATTTCTTTATAATTATTGTACGAAAACGACAGGTGGAGTATGCCATTTGGTACAATACCCAATATAATTCGACCCAGCTGTCAATATAAAAACGAACGTCGGCAACGTAGGCATTTAGAAAAATCTTTATCGACGTTGATCAAGTTCCTCGACGTGTTTCACTTCACCTTAAACAACATTTTTTAACTCAGCCCAGACCAGAACCAAAATGATGTCGAGCTCTCATATTTCGATCAATATATAATTATCGAAGGCTCTGATATGAGAAACAAAAGGGTCAGGACAGTTTTACGACAATTTATAACACTCTGGTAATCGATAAACTCGCATTTGAACGGGATAATGGCAAAAAAAGTGTTGTACGCGCTTCTATACTAAAACGATGGTAATGCGAGGCCTCGGAGTGAAGATTTAATTGACCTGGAAATCACAGATGGCGCAGGGGGTTCCTCTGCAGTCAATTAGGGCCCCAGAAGGCATGAATCAAGAGGATTTCTGGAGTTTTACTTCGATTTCTTTATAATTATTGTACGAAAACGACAGATGGAATATGCCATTTGGTACAATATCCAATATAATTCGACCCAGCTGTCAATATAAAAACGAACGTCGGCAACGTAGGCATTTAGAAAAATCTTCTTTATCGACGTCGACCAAGTTCCTCGACGTGTTTCACTTCACCTTCACGAACACCGTTCATTTTGTAAATATTTAGGAGACATTTGAAATATTTGCAAAAAATTGACTTTAGAATATTATTGTTATAATATTTGTGTAACATAATATGTATTTATAGAGTTACCTTGGCAATGACTTTGATATTCGTCGAGAGGTCCTCGGAGGATCGACCATTGGACATCGACGAGCACGAACAGTCAGATATTCTCTCTTCGTGTTGTCGGACCGAAGACAATGGTCAGCATATCAGATGCTTCGGGGGATTCCATAAGAGGTGGCTGCCCAGGTAGGACTCGTAGTATAAGGAGACATAATGCCTATGGTCGGTTCCACAGAAAGTGGAATCACCCCATAATCGGGACTCAGGATCTCAGATTTCCACTGATCTAACGATGCGAGCGCTACTTGCGGAGAATAAGGAAACTCCGATCCTATATGACCAAAACGTTTCCTACCCACGTGAATTACTTAAAATGCTTTTAATTTTGCAATTAAGGTGTGCAAAGCGAAACTACAATCCACGCATGATATACAGAATGTGATGTTATTAACCATGAAGTAGTGTAAGGAGACATTACGCGAATGGTTGGTTCCACAATAAATGATGATCTCAGATTTTCGCTGATCTAACGATGCGAGCGCTACTTGCGGAGAATAAGGAAACTCCAGTCCTATATGACCATAACATTTCCTACCAACGTGAATGACCTAATATGCTTTTTATTTTGCAATTACCCAAGACCAGGACCCGGGATCTCAGATTTTCACTGATCTAACGATGCGAGCGCTACTTGCGGAGAATAAGGAAACTCCGGGCCTATATGACCAAAACGTTTCCTACCGACGTGAATTACTTAAAATGCTTTTAATTTTGCAATTAAGGTGTGCAAAGCGAAACTACAATCCACGCATGATATACAGAATGTGATGTTATTAACCATGAAGTAGTGTAAAGAGACATTACGCGAATGGTTGGTTCCACAATAAATGATGATCTCAGATTTTCGCTGATCTAACGATGCGAGCGCTACTTGCGGAGAATAAGGAAACTCCGGGCCTATATGGCCAAAACATTTCCTACCAACGTGAATTACCTAATATGCTTTTCATTTTGCAATTAAGGTCTCGATGTCGGAGGTGTCAAAAAAGCTACAGATTGTAAAAGTTCCGTTTTTCGTTTGGGTTTCGGCCTAATAATCGATCCTAATTATCCTAATTCATTAACATGCGTTTCTGCAGAATCAGCACCATGAAGTAGTATAAGATGACATAACGCTAATGATCGGTTCCACAGAAAGTGGAACCACCCCAAAATAGGGACTCAGGATCTCAGATTTTCTCTGATCTAACGATGCGAGCGCTACTTGCGGAGAATAACGAAACTCCAGTCCTATATGACCAATTTGTTTCTAAAAGTTACTAAAAACTTTGTTCAAGTTAGTTTCGACGACATCGATAGGTGGCGAGACTTTCTCGTAAATGACTTGGATCGCCCGTTTGCATATGATACTACTCCATCCCCAACTGATGCTAAAATATGCGAGAATGTCAACAGGTCAAGCATAATAAGTTTAATAAACGCAGAGAATTACAAAAAATAGTTTTGGATAAATAGTAAATTATTAACGTAACTAATTGCAACGGGCACGTTAAATGTACGATGATATATATCAGCTACGTTAACAATAATAACGTGAAATGTTACTATATGTAGGTTTTGTACTTTATTTAGATACAATTCCTATGTAAGAAAATATGCGGGTATACGTTTGAAAAAGGATCGCGTAGGTCAATTAGTCGATCCGTCTTCTGAGCGCGTCCGAGTTCGACTGTTTTCCAAAAAATGGTTTTCGCATTCCGCGTCCCCCTTTCGCCCCCCTAGGCTTCTCGAGAGAGCAGCCGCGGCGGACTCGGGCAGCGAGAATCCTCACATACTACTCATCTTGGCTAAAAAATCCTCCGATCCTACATATATAAATAGTAAAAAGTTTTGTTATTCTTCCTAAGAAAGTATAGTAAGCGTAGAATAGTTCATTTTTCTTCTCCCAAAAGGTAAAAAAATATAGTAACCGTTCCTAGATTTCCTAGTTGAGAAAAAAAGTTAATTTCACTACAAAAAGTATCCGAGTCCTTATTGAACTATGCAAACTAGTTAAAAAATAGTTTGACAAGACTTTATCTCAGTACAGCCCTATTTTCTTTTTGCAGGCCCGAAACTGTTAAAGTTCTCGAGATCCTCGACTGGCCTGAACGAACTTTCGATCCCGAGCGTCATTTGCGAGGTCTAACGTCCTTGGAAGAGGTTAAAATCGTCAGTAGCAATCTTTCGAAGATATCGTCACGCTTCCCGAGAGATGCATTGTTTTTGAAGGTAGGTTAAAGGTAAGGTAAAACGAACGTCGGCAACGTAGGCATTTAGAAAAATCTTCTTTATCGACGTCGATCAAGTTCCTCGACGTGTTTCACTTCACCTTAATAATAATGGGCTGTATTGTTATGTGCAGAAAGTGAGCATCACTGGCACCGATCTGCAATTCCTTCCGAGAGACGTCTTCGTAGATTCGCCGAACCTAAGGTACGTCGACTTGCGGAACAATTCCCTCGGGACGATGAACCCGCAAACCTTCGAAGTGGAACCTCTGCGAGAAATCTATCTCTCAGGTAGAATTCCTTACTATTTTAATGGCGGTCTACACGTGGTTCTGTCTCGCAATGCTGTTTGGAGGAAGTTAAGGGGTTCTTAATCTATCCGGTTAACCGGAGCAAGTCATGGAAGTCGCGATGATGATTAGAATTCGGGTTTGATCGAAGATGAAGGGTTAATAAATAGACTAGAATGAAAATGAGGATGAGTCGAGCTTGCGAAGAATCCTCTATCTGGCTTGTTTAGCGGCCGTATTCGGTGACACTCTCTTTTGATCGACCCAGCCGGATGACTATGCGTGAACACCTTCGTCCCGTGACGTGCCCTATGGTTGGAGGTCTCCTAGAAGCCTCCCGTCCAACGGAAGTCGCAGTGCCGTCGTCTGGTCTTGACTCGGTGGTTGGATCGCTGGAGTACTGGATGGCACTACTGCAACTCGCAGGATAGTGGTCCTTGGCATTGGAGGTCTCCTAGAAGCCTCCCGTCCAACGGAAGTCGCAGTGCCGTCGTCTGGTCTTGACTCGGTGGTTGGATCGCTGGAGTACTGGATGGCACTACTGCAACTCGCAGGATAGTGGTCCTTGGCAGGGAGTTGGAGGACTCCTAGAAGCCTCCCGTCCAACGGAAGTCGCAGTGCCGTCGTCTGGTCCTGTCTCAGTGGTTGGATCGCTAGAGTACCGGTTGGCTCTACTGCAGCTCGCAGGATAGTGGTCCTTGGCAGGGAGTTGGAGGTCTTCTACAAGCCTCCCGTCCAACGGAAGTCGCAGTGCCGTCGTCTGGTCCTGACTCGGTGGTTGGATCGCTGGAGTACCGGATGACGCTACTGCAGCTCGCAGGATAGTGGTCCTTGGCAGGGAATTGGAGGTCTCCTAGAAGCCTCCCGTCCAACGGAAGTCACAGTGCTGCCGTCTGGTCCTGACTCCGTGGTTGGATCGCTGGAGTACCGGATGGCGCTACTGCAGCTCGCAGGATAGTGGTCCTTGGCAGGGAGTTGGAGGTCTCCTAGAAGCCTCCCGTCCAACGGAAGTCGCAGTGCCGTCGTCTGGTCCTGACTCGGTGATTGGATCGCTGGACTACCGGATGGCGCTACTGCAGCTCGCAAAATAGTGGTCCTTGGCAGAGAGTCCGGCGGTCTCGGTCTCTGACTCGCTAGGAACGGAGTACCGTAGACCAGGAGTTCCACTCGAAGTTCGATGGTGTAGCGTAAGAACTGACACTGACTTATGACATGACTAATGACTGACAGACAAATGACATGTCGTCTCGATCTGACTGCTGGTTTTATTAGCAGGATGTTCCAATTGGTGGGAGTTTCCTAGGGCCCAGGTGAGGGTGGCGTTTCTGGGTCGTGATGACGCTTTGCGTGGTCATCAGGTTGGTTGCCCCGGGTCGATCGATGACTTTTGGGGCCGTTTGGCCGATGAACTCGTTGGATCCTTTCGCAAGTGTTTCCTAATCGCGTTTCCGCATTCGGATTTCCGTGGCTAGCTCCGGTGATCGGAAAATGGGTTTTTCCTATGTTAGGGTACGGAGGGTGTCTACGTAACAGGAGTATGCCATTTAGTACAATACATAATATAATTCGATACGGCTGTCGAAGTAATGACGTACGTCGGTAACGTAGGTAATCAGAAGAATCTTTTTAAGCGACGTCGATCAAATTTCTCTACGTGTTTCCCTTCACCTTAAAACTTTTTTACAGCAGATATAAAAAAAATACGTGACTCTTAGAATTTAATGAACGAAAATATATCGAAAGTATAACAAAATTGGAAGGGAATACCAAAGTATGTTGTAAGCGAACTTATATGCTGAATTCATATCGATGAGCAATATTTGCTCAGGGTGAATATGTGTGTTCATTTAATAAGTTCATCAACAGGAGCTTCACAGTTCTGCTCCAATATTCGTTTATTGTTAGTCTGTGCCGGTCTTTTAGGTAACAAATGGAAATGCTCTTTGGACAACTCCTGGATCCTGGACTCGAGGAAGGTTTCCGTCGCCAGCAGGATCGTCGACAGGGACAAGCTCAGATGTCATACTCCTTTCACAGGAAGGCCACTCCTCTTCGTCATGGAAATTATCGAGGTTTGCTGTGAGAGTTATAGCTACGTAGAAAAAATGTTCTTTCTTAAGGTGAAGTGAAACACGTCGAGGAACTTGATCAACGTCGATAAAGATTTTTCTGAATGCCTACGTTGCCGACGTTGGTTTTTATATTGACAGCTAGGTCGAATTATATTGTGTATTGTACCAAATGGCATATTCCACCTGTCGTTTTCGTACAATAATTATAAAGAAATCGAAGTAAAACTCCAGAAATCCTCTGGATTCATGC